GTTATTGTGTCAGTGTCTTTCTCTTTACCCAACCCAAATCAAACAATGCTCGATTTTGATCAAATTGTATCCCACTTCCTAGGAATTCCCCCATGACTGGACCTATTCATAGTACCAAAATGTCGTTTCCTATTTCAGCCCAGATGCCAAATTGGGTCTAGTCAGGGTTCTTAAACCCTGGACGACATTTTGATGAACGTAGTAACATCTCGTTTTACTGTCTTTTCTTCGTCGAAGGCAAGACACGCCATCCTCAAGAAGGATGTATCAGCCTTTCTTTAAACTTTACTTATCCTGTTTACGTGTGGTAATATAAAAAAAAGCAGTAAATCCTATGTGTAATCTCATACAAGCAAAGGTGAAAAGATCAAATAAATCCAACAGTTTATATATCCAAGATATGGCAATTATTCCACTGAAACAAACGTAAAATTGAAATGGCTAAAAACCATTTCTATAAAATGAGCCCAATCTTGAAAAATAGAAACATTTCAATGCTGTGTGTTGGACAATCACTGAAACAATGAAAAGAGAACAGAAGCAACAGAAATGCAGTTAACTGGAAAACTGCTTAGAATGTCGTGGGGGGAGAGGGGAGAAATCAAATGAGGCATTACTTGAAGAAACCAACGTGGGCCGATCGCTGATTTAAAAAAAACCCACAAAAATAAAACAATAATAAGGAAACGATAAATGCAATTCTGGGATATTTGAATAGATATATAATATCCCCCGGGGCAGTGCCAATGACTGTAGTGTCTTTAGGCCATTCCCAAAGGGGGGGGGGACATTTCTCGTTCAAGTGCAGCAGAAAATGGGCTGATTCATGTCGCGCTCATAACTGTGCCTGATCTACAACAGGGAACTGCTGCTTTTTCTTTCCTAATCCTTACTATTGTCATTTTCCTCTACTTCTTTTGTATGTTTGTCACTCTCTTGTGACCTGCTATTTCCGGGGTGCCTTGATAGTTGAAGCAGACCGTGTGCTGTTGAAGCTAGAGAGGTGGGCAGAGTGGGTCTGATTCCCTGTAAAGACTTCTCTGTTGACAACCACCCCTTGGCGCTCATATGACCTTATGCAGTTGCGAGTGCCGTAAAACCCTCTACTAAAATTTTTAAAAATAGATATATAAAGCCGTGAACATCTTGCTCTCACTGGCAAAATTGAAATAAACAAGACAGGGTAGACACAAAACAACCTACGTGTAGAGCCTAAACAGATGGGTGACAGTGAAAGATCAGCTTAATGTAGCATTTTTTATAGAGCATTCGAGCAAATGAATGAATTGCGAGCCATGATCGTTGATGCCCGTGACAGATCTTGTACTTGATGATGACGATCTAGTTTAGCATTCTATCCCTGTCCAGACACGGAGAAACCCGTCTCGTATTGTCTAAATTCTGTCAATTGGGGCGTATATGAGTTTACAGAAAATATCGGAATGTGCTCTTTTGTCAGGTAAAAAATATGATTTCCCATAGTCTGTGAGTCTGAAATTAGACAACACATTTGAACATCGCATGAATGACTCAGACTCTGCCGTGACTGGTGCCGACCTGTTTAATGTCCGAACCACAGAGTGATTAGCCACTTCCTTCCTCCTCTCTGCCTTCCTTCCTTCCTTCCGTCGTTAATTCCTTATCTATTCCTCTTTCAAAACATTACGGCTATGTTTGGTCAAACAGACTTGCCCAATTCCTTATCGTAAAATATTCATGATGTGCGCAGGCTAAATAAGAAAAGAAGCCAAATCTATAAAACTTAACTGCACAGTTAAAGCGATCAAGAAGTTACAGAGAAAAAGACTCACACGCTCAAGGTGTCTTATCTTTTGTTTGTGTCTTTCACTAATCGGTTTTATCTGTGACGGATGCTACCATTCACAAAGCTGGTGCCTCATGGAAAGCCAAGTTGTTTGTTCCTTTTCTCTTTTCTCTTTTCTTTTTTAAATTATAATTATTTGAAACCAGAATTCGTCTTTGTGTCTTTACTCATTACCCCTTTAATTCTGCGTTGATTAGAATCAATGGCATTGTATCCGTCCAGTTTTGTGTAGAAATGAAAACGGATTGTTACAACGTCTTCTTGTAAATATTTTTTATCTGCTGTTGTTGTTTACCAAATTTGTATTGAAGTCATCGCAATTTTTAGTCATGTTGATTTCTAATCTCTCTTGCTCAACCGCGTTTCCATTTTTGGCATAGCGATATTAAAATTACAAGCAAAAATCACCTACGCTTCCAGTAATGTTGAGATAATGGCGTCTCATAATGTAGACGTTATAGGAGCAACGAGAGGAGGGGGAAAGGGGGGGGGGCTTATATTGATTTATTACTCGAAAAACTGATTTTATGAACGCCCACAGCTGTTTGTTTCGTTTGGAGATATTGTTTTGTTTTGTTTTGATTTGTTTCTTTGGGGGGTCGAAGTAAGGACAGGAGGAGGAAGAGGATTTGGGCTAATCTTTCGGGTTATTTCACTGAGATTCCAGCGCCTTTTGTTTTAATAAAAGGTTGTTGGAAGAGTTTTCGTGGATCTCAAAACAACCCCCCCCCCCTTCCGGGCGGTGCTACTGACTGAAGTGTCTTTGAGCCCTTCCCAAAGGGGGAGGAAGGGCATTAACATGCTCTTATGCACAGTAGAATAATT